TTTTTTTTATCAGAAAGGAAAGTCATCAAGACTTAGATTTTATTTTAGGAACAAAGTAAGGTTTCATGGGAGCAAAAAAGAAAGCCTTGGTGTAGAGAAGGTTTGTTCATTTTCTATAGCATTACTGAAGTGTCGTATGCCTTGATAACCCTATCAATGTTTGGATCATCTCAGTGGGGGAAATGCCTTAATTTAACTCTATTTTGCTGTCTCAGCAAAGGTAAGTTGTCAATTTGAGAGCCTTGAGTTTTTTTTGGGGGGGCGGGTATTGTTTTATTTTGTCTTGTTTTGTTTTATATTGTTTTCTCAACTGGGAAAGTCTATACTGGTGTGTTTGTGTATAAAGTATAGTCTGCTAAGCTAGCTTTCTGCCTCAGTTTCCTTAAGTATAAAGGGCAGATGGCCAGTGGGTGGAGGGGGAGATGATGGGAGTTGGCCATTATTTATGGACGTGCCTTAAAAACAGTAACTTATGTCCATCAAATGGTTGGCAAGAGATGCAAGTCAATGCAGGCTGCTTGTGGATGCCAGGACACTGACACCCTTATTTTGTACTCTCTAGTGTCTCTCTTTCAATGCCATCATGGAAGAGCTGGGAATCTCACTCAAGAATCAGAAAAAATTAAAGAAAAAGTCAAGAACTAAGGGCAAATCTTCCTTCACAAGTATCCTTACTTGTCATCAGAGACGGACTCAGAGAAAAGAGACTGTGGCATGATCCAAGAACATACCTGTAGGAACCATCTAAGAAGAAGGCCATGCCCACTACTCATATGTGGAGGAAGGCTTTCTGAGGAGTAAGAGACGTGTTTCCACATATCTTTATCCATAACTCCAATTGTGGATAGAGGCAGAAGAAATGCACAATTTTTAAAGCTCACATAGATATTGTTCAGAAGTGAAACTGATTCTTTTCAGATGAATTTGTATGCACACTTATTTTGCATTTTCTCTTCCCCCCAATATATTGCTATGTGTGCTTTCTAAATAACAATAAACAAGTGGATTTTGTTTTTCATAACAAGTTTGAGCCTCTGTTTGTCCCCATTTCCTCCACTTATTCCCAGGGATGAGTGCTGAGTATCACTAGCTATAGTACTTGCTGTCCTGAGCAATCTGTTAATAAATACAGTCATTTGGGGCTGAATTTAAAAACAATTGCTTTCAGTTTATAGAAGGTATCTGCTCACTATGGAAAGGGAAGCAATTCATCCTTTTGTTCTAAAATCTAATTTTATACATGGTTTAAATACTATTTGAACATCAGTAAGTATATCATAAAAGAATGTTTTTTTAAAGGGAAAGTACATTAAGAAACTAAATGTTCACCACATTCTAAGGCAACATGCTGAAATCATGTGAGGGAAAAATAGATGTGATCTTCCTCCTCATACAAACAAAGGGAAATGTCTATTGCTGGAAGCTGGGTCAGAATGGTGATGTCAGAAGCTGTACAGGCACACAGAGACAGCTATCTGAGCCTGGGACAGAAAAGGCTGCCAGTAGAGGAAGACCAAGGTCAGAATGACTCAGGCATCATCAGACAACATGGTAGTGTAAGTGGAGGTCATAGGGCTCAAGGCTAAGGAAGCACTGTGTTCAACAACACCGACATAAGAAACACCTGAGTTGTAATGTTAGGTGGGAAATGGAGTTTAGAACATTAAAGATGTAGGGTGTGATGAGCCCAGCAGGCAACCACAACTCCAGTTGAAGAAAAACAGAAGGAGAGAAGACAGGAACAAGGAGAGAGTGAGCTCACGCCAGCAAGTTCTTCCATGATCCAAAAGGACGTCTGGACCAGAGCAGAATGATACTATTTTAAAAAGGAAAAGGTAGCTGATCCACTTCATTAAAAACTACATCAGAATTATAGTTTTGTAGTTTCAATAATTTTCTTTGCTTCGGTTTTAACCATTTTTTGAAAATATTTATCTTTTCGCATCTTATTACAGTAATTTGGAGGACGTGTGTAGAATTGTAATATTTAAAATATATTGCATGCCTACCTTGCTTTATAGATACTCAACTCTCCAATTGTCAGAGTCTTCTGGTTTCTTTTTTTTTTTTTTTTTTTTTGCTGTGTTTAAACACTACAACCAAAGGGATTAGAGAAAGAGAGAGTTTACTTGGCTTCCACTTCTAGATCCATTATTGAGGGAAGTCAGGGAAGGAACTCAGGCGAGATTTTGGAGAAGAAACCATGGAGGGATATTGTTTGCTTACAGGCTTTCTTATACTGCCCAGGGAAAGGTGCCACCCACAGTAGGCTGGACCCTCCTATATCAATTGGCAATCAAGACAATCCCCTCAGACATGTTTGTTGAAACTACTTCTCAGTTGACTGCATGCTGTATCAAGTTGACAGCTGAAGCTAAGTCAGACAGCTTTTGCCCTCTTAATTTCATAACTGAATTTTTTTCAAAACATATAAAGTTTTCTATGTGAAATTCTGTTAAAAACATATTGAAATAGGTAAAATTGCCAAAGGGGATTTTGTTTTATTTCAATCAGAAACAAGCTTGTTCCATATGTCAATCCCAGCTCCCTCTCCCTCCCCTCCTCCCCTGGAACTCACTCTGTAGACCAGGCTGGCTTCGAACTCACAGAGATCCATCTGCTTCTGCCTCCCGAGTGCTGGGATTAAAGGCGTGCAGCACCAATGCCCCAAAGGGGATATTTTTTAAATTAATTATAAATGCAGCCACAGTCACCTGATGTTTTATCCATAAAAAAAAAAAAAAATGGCTCCTGGGCATGTGCTTGGTTCTGTGTGAGTCTGTGTTCTTTCCAATGAAGAATGGAAACTAATGAGTTCAGAAGCCAGAAAAAGTTACAGAGAATCTGCAACCTGATCCAGAAAGATTCCTGAGAACAATCATTAATCTCCAAGATTTTCATCCAACGCGCTGAAGTGCAGTGAGTCACACAGAGTTATGGACAAATCAATGGCAAAGTTAATTAAAAGCTAGGTCTAACATTTCTTCCTTCAGCGATTTCTTTATGCTAAAAGAATTAAACTGCTCAGGTGAGAGATTTGGGGAGAGAGAAAGGTCAGGATGGAGGGATGGTGGTGATATTCACAGGTAAGATTTACTTTCCATTCACGCCTCACGCCTGGCCCTGGTGGCAGAAGAAAAGGGAATGTGTCAACTTGCTTCCCCTGTGGGCTGAGCATACACCTGGGGTTCTGACTTCTCACTCTAAAAGAAGGGAAAAGTAAAGAGGGCCAGCTGAAGAAAACCAAATAAAGGTGAAGTTGATTTGACCCGCTTTTTATTTTCATGCCCAGCAGATTCGGCTCTAATTTAGCTCTTTGTGTTACTAAAATGGATGTTAGGTGGCTGTTATCACAAAGATTCAGCAATTGCCTCAAGTAATAAATAATGAATGGATTAGCAGTGTCCATTCAGGGGAAACCCCACCAGGCAGCTACCCACACAGATGATTCTTTAAGGACACATCAGGTCTACAGGACGCTGCACCAGGCTCTCCCCAAGATGACTGGAACCAAGTTGGAGCATTGGCAGAAAGAGGCAGAAGTGTTCTTGCTCAAACTCATTAATAGCTTATTCTTCTAGCCTAGAGCAATGAGAGGAAGCAGACATTATATGCTCCATGATACCCAGAGTGAGGAGTGTCAAAGCTGTGCAGAGCTAAAGCAAAGCTTCCCACCAAGGTGCTGGAGTCTCTGTGGAAGGGGCTCCCTCCAGTGATGTATCGGAGTTAATAGACAAAACTGGAGGGGTCTTGCTATGTAAGAAAAGAAAATCGTTCTCGATGCAGTTTTGAAAATTCTCTGTGAAGGAAAGAAGGACAAAGCAGAAACAGTAAATCCACCAGAGGGAAGGCAGACATCCTACTCTTACAGGCAAAAGCAAAGTCCCGTTAGTCTCAGGCAAGAAATGTCTAGACTGTCCAGACAGGCAAATGTCTAGAACTCCAGAAACGTCTAGGCTGGCTTTGCAGAGTACTGCCCTCCTGCCATGCCACAGGTGCACCTGAGGGCCTTGCTCTTAAGGTTTAACTTCATAGTGTCCAGTAAGGGAAATGTGTTCATTCCTCAAGAGCCTCCTCAATTAGTGGATTTGGGGGTGTGTGTGAGCAGATAGCATCTGATGTGTTTATTTGTGCAGTGGTTTGAATGAGAATCCCCCACCCACCCCACCCCCGCATAGGCCCAATGTTTGAATGTTTAAATCCCAGCTGGTGGACTATTTAGGGAGAATTAAGAGGTGTGGTTTTATTGGAGGAGGTATGTCATTGAGAGTGGGCTTTGAGGTTTCAAAAGCCCATGCCAGGCCCAGTCTCTCCCTCCTTCTCTCCTTCCAACTTGTTGACATAAGCTTTTAGCTTATCTGCTCCAGCACCATGCTCCCTGCCATCATGGTCAAGGACTCACCCTCTGAAACTGTAAGCAAGCCCCCAATTAAGTGTTCTTCTATAAGTTTTTCTGGCCATGGTGTGTCTGCACAGCAAAAAAGATAGTTTATTTGCAATAATATTAGTCTTCTCATGCCCTCCTTATTGACCATCACTTTTTCAATAGCCAAGTGTCCAGACATTCTAATTTTCCTTAAACAATTCTGCACACAGCTGGATACTAAGAAGTCACATAGTAAAGGACACCCTTTCCAACACAACAGTCCTCAGATAATAAATTATGGGGTATATTTCACACTGATCTTCTTCCTATATCCTCTTTGTGGCAATCACAGTGTTGAAATACTGAATTTCAAACCTGTAGTGTTTATTAAGTAGGAGGACGTGTGAACTAGAACTGCAGTTGTTCCTAAGTTTATACTGGACTCTGAGGGGGAGGATCAGGGATGAGGAAAGACCACCAAAAGCTGGGGTCAGAAGGGCTGTGAGGGCTGATGAACCAAGCCAGTGAATTTGTTAGGATCTCATCTTGCAGCATACCCCTCAACGAGGAAGCATGATGGGGAAAGTACTTCTGTGTATGTTTATCTTATTGATTGTTGAATGAAATACTGTTTGGCCAATGGCAGCAAGTTAGACAGGACTAGGAGTCAAAGAGGATTCTGGGAAATGTAGTGGAGAAGTGGTGAGCCAGGCTGGAAGTGACATAGCAAGGAGACTCATATTTAGCAAGGAGAAACAGGAAGTGTCCCCTCTTCCCCTCCAATCTTCCTCCAGCGGCGCAATGTGATCCACCAGCAAGGAGGGACACCAACAAGGCGTCCGATAAGATAAGTCTTATAAAATATATAGATTTATGATAGTTAAGACTGAGTTAACAGACAAGAATCCTATTCATTGGCCAAGCAGCTTTGAACCTAATACAAGTCTCTCTGTGTATTAATTTGGGCCCTAACTCGGGCGGGCGGCTGGCATAAAGCTCACACGTGGCGGTGGAGCTCAGGTGGCTTTTGGCAGAAAGATTTATCGTAACAGAAGCAGAAGTCAAGTCAGTAAAGAACATCAGACGGCAGAATTACAGGAAACTCAGAGTCTCTAGGTCCTCTTCTACAAGGTGCATATTGGTCCAGGATGCAAAGCATTGCACACATCTCAGTGTTTGGAAAATTTAATCACAGCATTACAGGGTAACTGTCAAGCTCCACAGCCCAGCTTGGGCCCCTCAGAGACCTGGCACCAATTCATTGCTGCCCTTGGCAAACATGACTCAAGCATGAATCCCAAGCTCAGCATGGCTTGGTACATCCACATGGAACCCAAAGAACCTTTGCCCGA